GGGAAAGAAAAGAAAAGAGAAGAAAAGAGAAGGGGAAAAAGGAGAGAAAGAAAAGGGGAGGGGAGGAAAAAAATCCATCCAGTCATAGGCGAAAATAGGTCTCCGCAAATAACCCCTTTGATTCGCACTTTATTGTTCGCGTCCCACTTCTTACCATTGTTCTTGGTCGGCCTCCTTCGCTATTCGGTTACTCGGCCGGCGGCCGAGGAGGAATCGGATGAATCGCGGCGCCTTTTCAATAATTCCCGCCGAATTAATAATAATAAACGAAACTGCTCGTGATTGAAAAGTAATGTGTTATATATATCCTGTAATTGGGCAAAATTTAGTCGGCTGTCAATTGGCCAGATTTTACCGTTCGTCCAACCTCACGTATCACGTCCACCTCGATCGGATCCGCCCGGGCCCCGTGCCAATAAATTATTACTTAATTATCGCCCAATTAACCGATATTATCCACGTTGATTCTCCCTAACAAATTCGTCGTTATTGTTGTTGTTCGACGATAGAGCGGTATCGCGCGTTTCAACGAGTCGATCGAATTATTAACTCGAAAAGAAGGGCGGAGACCTGTTGTTGTACTCGAAACACGCGAAAGCTAATTCGCTCTTCCGTGGTTGATATGTCGCGCGATCTCGAGGATCAGAAGTTTCGTTTTTTGAAAATTTTTCGTGTCATCGAGTCTCTTTGGAAATAGCGAAGAATAGAAAATTTGTTCGCGACGAAAAAAAAAGGACTTGAGACGCGATCTACGATTGAAGACAGGAAAGTAAAAAGATGGAGCGTACACGTTGGATCGTCCATTTTTCGAAAAGGGGTTGAATCGAGTTTGGGATCGTCTCGATTCGGATGCGGAGCTGTTGCGGCGCGCGTGAAAACCGTGCCTCGTAGATTTCACCGCGCCGTGTTGAACCTACTCTCGATACCAGTTGTTAACAACATTCGGCCTGTAGTTACAACGGCGTCCGAGCGTGTACACACAGGGGACGCCGAGGCCAGCCAACGAACGCACGGTCGTGTGCTCGTTCNAACAGCGTGCTCGAATAATGGCGTTGAATTTTCCGCGCCGCTCGTGGAGCCCGCGGCACGGATATCGGAAAAATCTCGGCAACGCGGTAACGCGCCAGTTTTCGATAGCGAACGAGTTACGTGGAACGAGCGAGTTCCATTCCCTCGCGACAACGCGTCGAAAATGCGCGTGTCGATCGATAATCACTATCGTTGATACCGGTTATCGACCAATTTTTATTTTCCCTCCCCCCTCCGTACCCCTTTCCCGTTCATACCAATTCGCCGATTAAAACGCTGTCCGCGGATACCTATATAATAGTATCAACCGGGGAGAGAGATATATATATATGGAGAGAGAGAGAAAGGGGGATTTCCCGAAAGCCTCGATCCGATCGTTCGCTCAAAGACGGGTATTTATCTGGAAGGCCGCGATCGAAATAATATTTACGGAGGTTGTCCGCGTTATATCAAACGCGTTATAGAATTTTATTCAGAAATCACGGTTTTTCTATTGTTCGGTGAAATTCGCTTCGTCAAATTGTATTTCGACGCGCTTGGATTCCCCGTATTTCTCTCTGTCTCTTGTTTTTTTTTTTTTTTTTTTCCCTTTCCCGACGCGACGTCCGAATGTCGTTCCGTGTGTACGCGTCCCCCGCCTACCATTTTCCACGGATCACCACCCCCGTGATTCGTCGATCATCGAAAAATTGTTTCTAATTCGAGCAATTCGCGTTTCGTTACCCGCGTTCTGTCCGACGAAAATTCGTTAATCCTCCGGAAGCGGAAACGATCCCCCCTCGAAACACGATTCGAGGGGTGGCGATTCCTTCGAATGGAATCCAAAACCGTTACCAATTTCCCGCGTTTACGATATTTCGCGCGGCCGATCCCGATCCCGAAAAGAACGTGTGCGGAACGAAGAAGAGGTAACAGGTAGGATTTTACGGTCGTCAAACCCGTCAGATCCATCGAGAACGCCCGTTTCTCTTCTTCTTTTTCTTCCCTCCCACTATTATTTTCCTCCCCCTTTGGTAGTTGGAGCGTAACCTAGATATTCCAACGCGTGCAAACACCTCCCTCCTCCTCGCATCAGAATTAATTTCCTTCGAATGAAATCGCGATGACGTTCAATTTCCAACGACGGAGAAATCGAGATTCGTTCTTGACTCGTCTCGCGCCATCATATCGATATTATCGCCGTGAACCGGAAACAAAGTTGCGTCGTGTGTAAAAGTAGCGAGGGAGGGGAGGTGGAAATCTTTCCAACAAAGTGACGGCGTTACTCGTGTCAATCTTTCCTTCCTCTAAGTGGAAACGCGTGTTCTTTCTTTCTTTTTTTTTTTTTTTTTTTTTCCCTGGCGGTTTTCCCTTTCGAGGAGAAAGGAGGAAGAAAGAAGGAATCGAAAGAATGATTCGTACAATTTTAATAACCAAGAGCGAGAGACAAAAGTGTGTATGTATACGTGTGTGTCTCTGTGTGTACGTGTATGTTTTTTTTTCCCTTCCCTTTCGTTAAGTTTTTTAATCTAAATCCGAGAACTGGCCGGGGAAAAAAGCTTTTTGTACCTCTAACAGTTTTTAAGCCAACCGTTAGAGGCGTGAAACTCTCGAGGGCGGGTTTCATCTCGTGAACTCGAGCCCCCCGGTGGCCTCGGCAAAAACCTTCCTGTCCTTTAAACTTCGTCATCTCTCNNCGCCACCTACTTTCTCGTTCGAATCGAACGCTCGAACGAGAACGGAGAAGAAAAACCGCTCCTTCATCTCTCTCTCTCTTTCTCTCTCTCTCTTTCTCTCTTCTTCTCTCCGAAACGAATGCTCGACGACGGTGAAAACGATATCGACGTGCGTTTCGAAATCGTGGAGCAGTGAGCGCGAAAGAAACGAGCGAATCCTTGATACGAATATATATATACACACACATATACGTCCTCGTGGCGTGTAACAACGCAGGTGTGCAACGCTTCTCGCTCCGCGGAGCGAGAAGTTGGCTTCGATTCGAGGGCGCCTTCGGGACTCGAGTGCGCATGCCCGTTGATCACTTCGCACGATAATTCGCAACGAGGCGCGTTATAACCGGGAGCTTGTCCGGGAGGATCGCGTGGCCGCCGGTCATCGTATCTCTACTCCTCTCCCCCCTCCCCCCGCACCGACACGGCGATGTCCAGCTGCCACCATCGGTCGCCGGGTACAACGTGGCGCGCGCGGTGGGCCCGCATTAGCCCATTATCTTAATCTGCCCGCCGCGTGGGACAAATAACAGGGTATGCCTTGCCCCCGCACACGTCCGCACGCTCGCCGCACGTTTACATTACGGCCACCGGAAGGTGGTATTTTTTTCTCTCTCTGTCTCTCTTTTCTCTCAACCCAAGAAACGTTTCTTCCTTTCTCTTTCTCTCTTTCTACACTAGGGTCGTTATTACGTAATTGATCGTCGCGATCGAACGAGTGCCGATTACAAGGGAAACAAGGCTCGGGTGTGGACGCGATGCGATTCGAGCGCGTTATTCTAGAAATCGCGAACCTCGCGTACGGTATCGCGGCGGAGACTCGCTCGAGTTACATCTCTCTCCTCAGTTTCATCCCCTNCGAGCGGAAGAAGGTGGACGAAGAAGGTCGTTTCGTTGGGCGGTTGTTCGAATGGTGTGCACGTGTGCAGCGTAATATACGTCGCCTCATAGACTCCGACTCTTCCCTTCTCTATATATAATCGTCCAGCGGTGGCCATTTCGTGCGCGGAATTGTTTACTCGTGCTTCGTTCCGGGCCGCTCCCCCCTCCTCTGCCGATTTTCGATCGACTCCGGCCGTGGCGCTTTACGCGACGTGGGGAGGCGGTTAAGTAGCTGAGAGATTGGCGGCGGGCTGATTAGAGGTTCCGTCGTGATTGCGTTTTTTTCCCCCCCCTCTCCCTTTCTTCTTCTTTTTTTTTCCTCTCCCCTCGTCGACACCCGTTTAATATTAATCGTAGATCGATTCGACGCTCGTGTTTAACGTTAATTTGTCCCCGGGTTATTTATTAAAAGCTGAAAAGGGGAACAACGGATACGCGTGGCGGAACGGATCGCGCATGAAGCGCGATGAAAATTTCACGGAGAAGAAGGGAAAGAAGGGAGGCAATGAAATTATATCGCGTTTTTTGTTACGTATATTTCTGAACCAAGCGACGCGTTATTCTCTCTCTCTCTCTCTTTCTCTCTCGGCGACCGAACGACAACGCGATACATTGACGACACGTCCGTTTGGTTAATCGAAAATTCCGCGAGAATATATCCGCGGAGCAGGTGGAGATGTATATGCACACAATCGCGTACACCGCGACTAAGCGTAGCATCACCGGCTGCACCAACTGCCACACTGTTGAAACAATACTCGTGACGAATATACGCTTCACGCAGCCCCTTGCGCGCAATTAATTATCCGCTATAGCGATTAATCGTGGCAATTGGAGCATTGAAACGAGAACGCCGAGAACGGTTATCGGGAGGGAGAAGGAACAACCCTGCTACGATCTCCTCTTGACTCGCCGCGAGAAGAAATCTTCGAATCCCTTCCTTTAACACCTGTTGTCCTCTCCCCCTCCCCCTCCTCCATTATCCTTCGCCTCTTCCTCCCTTCACACATTCCCCCGCTCACCACGATGAAACATGCCCCCTGCTTATTATTTTCACTCTCACAGGATAATCTCGGTCGGCTCATGGAGGATGGAAAGAGGATCCACGTGGCGGGATCCAAGAGTTGCACGCGTTCCTGCGTCGTTCTCGAAAGGGGTGGCGATCGGTCACCTGTAGTCTTCGGGGTTTGCGGTTAATCCAGTCCGTTTGGCCGCGGTCGTGGTCGCGATCGTGGTCGGAATCGCACTCGCGGCCGGTCGTTGGCGAGGTAGGGGAGGAAGGCAAGCTCGCTCGAAAGCGCGCGGAGAGGAGAGGGGAGGAGAGGAGCAGAGAGAGAGAGAGAGAGAGGCGAAGAAGGACCAGGAAGCATATCGGAGGAGGCAGGAGGTGGAGGTGGAGGAGGAAGGCCCGCGGACGTGCAACAAGTTAAGAGGCCGCCGCCGCTACTACCGTCGACATCGCTGCCGTCGCCACCGTCCTCGCCACGATGTGACATGGATATCCTAGCCGTAGCCTGCGCCCTCGTCGCCACGGCCCTCTATTGCAACACCCTGCAAGCGGGTTTCGTCTACGATGATCGGTGAGCCGTCATATTATTCCGCGTATCGCGTTTTTCCCCCTTTTCGTTTCTTTTTCTTCTTTTTTTTTTTTTTTTTTTT